GTGTGCTCTTCCGATCTACATATATGAAGATATTCTAATCGAATATTATTTATCCTATAAGCACTACGATTGTGACAACCGTACTGATGAGCATATTTTAACAGATGTTTGCCATGTAACATCAATATATAACTTAAATTTACATGCATTTCTTTTCCAAACATAGAGAATATTGTTCTAACATCCATAGCAATTTTTTCCGTGTGAAACTTCATTTTTTTCCATATTTTCTCTGTATAGAAACAACGATTCCTAAATATTTAAGAAATTTATTGTGCGCGTGAAATGGAACACTGTATAATTATATATTAACAATATGTTAAACAATACTTATCTCATTCTTTTTAGTTCCAACGGAGAGAAAATTCAAATACAACGAAGACATCCACTATGTGTATACGTATTCCGTGGATGTGAGCACGAATCTGGGCTATGACAAGCTGTCGTCTCGTCAATCGAAAAACGATTCGGCCTTGTACATCGACGCCACCCTGTCCGTGCACTTCAACAGCCCCTGCGAGGGCACCCTAAGAATTCTGAACGCCAGCATCAGCCACGATCGTAGCGCGTACAATCCCGAGTTTCCGGATCGCGCCGGCTCCGAGTTCAAGGCCAATCTCGAGCGCCACGAGCTGAGGTTCACCTTCGACGACGGGCTGATCCACGAGCTGTGCCCGGATCGGCGCGAGCCGGTCTGGGCGCTGAACATCAAACGGGGCGTCCTGTCGATGCTGCAGAACAGCATGCGGCGCTTCGACGTGGACCATCGCGGCGACGAGGTGGACGTTCACGGCGCATGCGACACGCACTACCGCTTGTACGAGGCCAAGAGGACCAGTCTGATCGTGAAGAAGAGCAAGAACCTGGCCGACTGTCGTTACGGCCCCAAGTACTTCTCCGTCGTGCAGTCGAATCCCTACAGAAGTCCGCGGAAGCAGCACCGCCAGCACGGACTGTTCAAGTCGCGCAGCGATTGCGAGATCACGATCGATCACAACGTCTACGAGAAAGTGGTCTGCGATGAGGTGCGATTGTTGCAGCCGCTATCCAACGGCGTCAAAGCCGGCGCCAAGACCGAGTCTCGGACGATCCTTCAGCTGGTTCAGGAAACGACGACTTCCACCTACAGATTTGAGGAGGACGAAGACAACGATGACGAGAGAAGAGATGATGACGAGGATAACTTCGTGCGAAGCGTACCTCGGATCAGGAGGACCATGTTGTTATACGACCACGCGAAGACTCTGAAGACCATGCACGGTGAGCTGCGGACCTCCCGAGACTTGCTGAAGAGCATGTGCAGGCTTGGGAGCACCGATGAGTTGCAGCAGAGATTCTCCGAGATATTCACTAATTTCGTCCATTCGGCTCGCTTCCTGGATTACCCCTCGTTGTCGCAGCTGTTCAGCAGAGCCGACAGCATTTGCAAAAACGGAAAGTATGTAACTGCCGTGTTTTTGCGGGCACTTTTCTGATAAAGAAAAAAATTGAAGTGTCAATAATTAAAGAGATGAAAAATTAACATATAATATGTAAGACTTTTCAATTTAAATTAATTTAAAACAACTTCAAGTTTAATAATTGGATATTGAGAGTAAAAAAACGCGGTATTTTTGGTGCGTGAAATAATTTTATCTTCTTGTGTAGTTTCAAAATTATGCAATATTTCTTTACGCGTAAAAGAACATTGTATAAAGGTGTAACTACACAAGAAGATAAAATTATTTTACGCGCAAAGTACCGCGTTTTTTTTTTACTTAATATGCCCAATTATTATACGTACTTGAAGTTGTTTTAAAAAGATAAAACTAAAAATTATAATATTTATTTTATTTGATAGTTTGTTAATATTTTCCTTCTTCTTTTATTTAACAGGAAGCATATTGTCGCGGCACTGCCGTATTTAAACAGCAACGCCGCGGTGAGCGTGATGAATAATTTGATAATCAAGAGATACGTGAATCAAGCGATCGTCAACGACTGGATCGTCACTTTCGCTCTATATCCACGACCGGATCGCAACACCATCAAAGCTCTTTCGAAGCTACTGGACTTCCACCATCAAATTCCTCACGTCCAGTTTATTCTCAGCTACTCTACCATCATTCATACGTATTGCAAAAACGATGCAGATTGTACCGATCTGGAGGAGGTGAACGCGCTTCTGTCGCATCTTCAACAGAAAATTTCGCAAGGTTGCGAGCCCCGTTTTCATTCTTCCGTTGAGAGAAAAGAGGTATGATATTTATAAGTTTCTTTTCTCTAGTGTGTCCGATGAATAAAAGATTTTTAAATAAAAAATTTGTTTTCTAAAATTTTTTTCAAAATTTGTAAATTTTCTTTATCGAATCTGGATATTAATAACGATATATAAATTTATTTTTCACTTTCTTTTTTACTTTACATTTTGTATAAATAAATCATAAAATAATCATAAAATATTCGTGAATAAATATTTTTAAAAGCTCACAAGTTTGAATAAATATTTTCTTAATGTGAATTTTGAATGAATATGAATTGTAATCCAATTACGAATTTTTTGTATTCATCGGACACTACTTTTCTCTATTTGTAGTAAAGTAAAAGAAAAAAATACTTTCTATATATAATAGAACGTATGAAAAATGAAAAAAAGAGATTTTTAATATGATTGCAATTTGATTGTAGACGCTGGAAGCTTTGAAAGCGATAGGCAACATGGGACTCGAAATGAAAGATATGCGAAGAGAACTGAAGAAGTGCATAGACGACACTGGCGGATTCTTGTCTATGGAAGTTCGCATTGCTGCCGTCGATGCTCACCGTAGGCTGCCGTCCTGCGAAGAGACACGGGATGAATTCTTCCTCGATTATTACCGTAACACGACGTTAGACACGGAGATCCGTATTGCCTCTTACTTGCAGGTGATGCGTTGCCCCGATTACAATGTTGTCAAGACTATCAAGCACACCCTCAAAGTAGAAGAAGTCAATCAAGGTTCGTCGTTGTTCACTCACTGCTAAACGGTTTAAATATTTAAATGATAAGAAAAATGACTTTCTAATTCACGTTTCCTTTCCCTGTTTATCTTTAGTCGGTTCTTTCGTATGGAGCCACTTGACGAATCTCTACAACTCTGCCTCGCCTACCCGAGTCGAGATCCAGAGTCTGCTGACGGATCGGGACATCGGCAACAAGTTCAACAGCGACGTTAGAAAGTTTTCGCGCAGTTACGAGAACTCCTTCTTTTCCGAAGAGTATGATGTCGGCATGAACTATCAGACGAATCTGATCTTCTCGCCGAAATCGTACGTGCCACGAACGCTCACCTTCAACGTGACCACCGATCTCCTCGGGCAGTCCGTGAATCTGTTCGAGATCACGGCGCGAATGGAGGGTCTGGAATATTACGCGGAGAATCTCTTCGGTCCGGACGGCATCTACAGCAACGAACAAATTTCGAGTCACCTCCAGAATTTCCTCAGGCGTTTCAGATCGACGTCGGAGAATGAGAATTATTGGGACGGCGTGAAACGGCTGCCTAATATTATCGACAACAATTTCGATCATCCGAAAATAAGTCTCGGTTACAAGGTAATGGAAAAGTAAAATGAGGTAAAACAAAAATATGTTTTAATTGTATTATCGTTACAATATTGCAATGCCTCGTTTTTTGCATTTAAAGATATTCGGAAACGAATTGATGTTCACGACGCTGGACGGCGACAAGCAAGTGAGGGCTGCACTGGCGAACTTCAATCCCTTGCAGAAGATAAGGGAGTTCTTGGCTATGCAGGAGATCCTCTACGAGAAGACAGGGATGTTCTTGGATTCTTCTTACGTAGTACCGATGGGGTCCGGTCTGCCAATTCGTTTGGACCTCGCCGGTTCTGCGGCATGCTATTTCAAGATCTCAAAAATGCTCAACGACGCTCGACTCTCCGATAAGGAATTTCAACTCACTGCCAATATTGCTTCCAGGTTATTTATTTCACCTTTTATTTCTTTACAATTCTTTTAATCCCTACAATATTTGAAATAGATAATTTTAATTTTTTGTTTTATTTAGTAGAATAATATTTGTTTAAGAAAAATAACTTTATTTTATTTTATATTATTGTTTACTCTCTAAATTTTCTGGAGTGAAATCTCACTCACTCGCGCCACTCAAGTGGCAGCTATTTTCACTCTTTGGAGACTTCACTCCAAAAAATTTAGAGAATAGCTCTTTCATTATTATAAAGTGTCACATTATATTCTTATTCTATTCTTTTTACAGTATAAGTGTTGATATGATGAGCACAATGACGGTGGACGCTTTTTACAAATCCGCCGGGCTCAAGCTGCGAACGAATCTTTACTCTTCCGGAATTATGCAGCTTCATCTGAATCTAAACAACACCCGTTTGGTGCACGTGAGTCTGGGTTTACCGAACCGCAAGATCGAGATGTTTTCATTAGTCTCGGACGTCGCTCTTATCAAGAGCAACGGTGGCGAGGTGCAGGAGAAACCGCTGGGCGTTCTGGTAGCCGATCAAAATCAGAAAAACTCGCGACATCTTGCAGCCGTACCCGAGAATATCATCAGCAACACCACCTGCAGCTGGGCCGCCTTGGACAGACTGATAGGTTTAAAGATGTGCACCGATTATCAATTTACAAACGTGACTAAGGATTCCAGTGCGCCCTATTTCGTATTAAACGGTCTCACGCTCTTCAAGGTCTCCTTGATCAAAGCCGATCCAACTGCCAAAAATTACGTGTTAGAATATAGCTGGAGTAAGACCGAGGTACAATCAAAGCTACGCATAACTTTTTATAATATTTTTGTTTAATTTCTTCTTTTTTGATAATAATTGTGATGATTAAATAGCGATATATATTGATATTTAATGAAAATTACAGTAAAATTCGCGATTCTCCGAATATTAAAATTTAACATGAGACGGCATATGTTTTTCATGGCTTTTGTTAATTTTCTTTCAGGAGTATAACACATTCAAGTTAATGTTCGACACGCCTGGCTCGCAGGTGAATAGGGAGATAAGCGCCGTTATCACTTTCGACATAATAAATAATAACGTTACTGCTCTATTTCATTCGGCTGGTAATTCTATGATCGCTAAGGGTTAGTGTTTTCTGAATGTATTATCTTCTCAAATTGTGACTGACGAAGATATTCTAGTAATGTGTGTAATATATTTTCAGGTACATATAAACGTTCCGAAGACGAGATTTTTATGGATATCGGTTTTGATATTAATGGCACAAAACACTTGGATGCCAGTGTGGGTTACTCGAGGAAGAAGTTCAATTACGGTTATACCTATCATCCTGTAGCACATTTAATTATCAATAACGAACGCGTTGCTGCCTTTTCAGGTATTTTATCGCGCACGATTGTATTAATGATAGAGCAATTAAATTTTATACTCTTTGGAATTCCTTCTTTTAAAAAAATAATCTAATTTTTCTTTCTAATTATCCTTTAAACTTTTAAAATTTTTTAAAAATATTTTAATCTTGATTAGTTATTATAATAATATATAATATACCAATAAATAATAATATATGATTACATAAAAATAAAATATGACAAAAAATAAAATTGAAAAAATTGGATTAAAAATTTGAAATTACCAGGTGATATTAGAAACGCGCAGAAGAACAATATCTCCCAGTTCGATATAGACCTGACCTTCCAAACGAAGCGAGTCTGGAGCCATTTGATCGGCTACATTGTCAGGCGGAATATCAGCCTGGCCGGCGATTTTCAGCTGGAGTATCAGTTGCAACGTATGCCGAGGAAGGAGACTCTTCACTTGGAGGTTTCGCTATCCAATCGCTCGTCGAAGACGCTGACGCACAAGGCCGCCGAAATGAAGCTGCACTCCACCGCCTATCCGCAACTCAACGCTGTGATGAGCGCCTGGTACCAGCAAGCACTTGGCCACGTGGAGATCCACGCCGAAGTTAATTCCAATCCGCATCTTAAGGACGACCGGCACAAGCTCACGGCGCAGCTCATTGTCTCCTACACGAAGATGTACTTCCAGACTCAGGGCACGAAGGTGAACGCGTTGATTGCCCTCACCAAACCCATTCAGAATTTGGATCTCAAAATGGGGATTAATCACCACGTCCTTGGCCCCGAAACGAAGACTAGCTTGCTCATAGGATACGCACCGGGTAAGATGTGCAGAGTTCACAACTGTTCACGCCATAATGCGAAATGGTTTTCTGGCTGTACGAAAAATTTCGGAGTATTTAATTTCCTGTATTTGCAGGCAAGGAGATCAGCCTGGTCGTCAACGTCATCATGCCGCGCGGTTTGTTATTTTCCATGGAAGGCCACACGAACCTGACGATCCCGAATTTCAACTCGATGCTGATCAACGCGCGTATCAACGAGCGTTCGCGAAACGAGTACGACCTGGAGTTCTCCGGAACGTGGTTCAGCGGCCACAACATGACCGCGCATGGCGTCTACATCGATCGGTCGCTGGCCGTCATCGTCAATCATCATCTGAAGATGATCTTCAAATCGCCGAGCTTCGTCAGTCCGATTTTGCTCAACTGCGACTTGTATGAGGACCACAGCGATCTCAAGGTCAGTCTGTATGCCGAGCAACTGGACTACGATAAGTACGCGTTAGTGCTGAATCACACGGTGCTGTCGGCGACCAGCCTGATGTCTTACGTGGAAGCGAGATACCGCAGCAACGTGTACTCGGTGATGACGAATATCGATACCACGCGAGAGATTCGCGTTGAGCTACATCTGGATAAGTGGCGAGACGTGCATCTGACCCTGAGCGGTATCAATCAGGAGGATCGGAAGGAGTTTGCGGCGGAGATCAAGTGGGACGCTAATAGGGATCCCGCCCTGAAGCTGGGCACGATGTTGCAGTTGAACAGGGTGTATCTGATGAACGCAACTTCCCCCGGGACCAAACGAAACGTGATGATAATGTTGACCTATCCGGGTCGACTGGTAACCGGCTCTTGTGACTTGGTCGTACGTAGTCCGCACAGTTACCTGGTGGATGTCACTCTGGACTGGGATCCGGAAAACGCGATCAAGGCGTCGATCGGCGCGAACTACGTCGTGCATCCGGAAATAACGACTGTCAAGTTGGAATCGCAACTGTTGACGCCTTTTGAAAACTGGAAGAAGACCGCCTTGAACGCGAGGTAAGCATCTAATACTGCATGAATTATTTTATACATGTATCAATGTAATGTTTAAAACGCTGTTAGATTAATTATTAAAAATAATAATAATAAAATAATGATAATTAAAATATAACAAAATTAATAATTAAAAATATAATAAAGTTAATAATAATAATAATAATAATAATAAATGATTAATTCTGACAATATAACTTGAAGTTATGAAAAATATTTCAATTCTATCTTGTTCGTGTTCGCAGATATCAGCAGCTACCGGACAAGATTCTAGCCAGCAGCAGTGCTCACTGGAGAGACTCTCAGCATGTGATGGCGGAATTCTACGCCAGTGCGAGCGAGCACAAGGATCTGAAGGAGTGGACGGCGAACTGCGGCTTGATCAGCACCGTCCAATCCAACTCATGGGTGACCATGAACGTCACCCACAAGGTATTACGCTCGCAAACGGCGGACACGCACATGTTGATTAAGTACAACCCCGACAAGGTAATCGACGCGCGCAGTGTCTGGCACTTGGACAAGCAGTCGGACGACGTATTCAATCTAACCGGAAATCTGCATTTGCACTCGCCTCTGATGAACTACCGGAAGAGCGAGCTCAAGTGCCAGCTGCGCCTGATGACTAACTGGAAATTCTACGGCGCGGCCAATCTTGACCTGGACAAACGCAAATACACCGGCCAATTGATCGGCGATCTCGTACGCTGGAAGGAGTCCAAGGTAGAGTTCAACGTTACCACGCCGCTGGAGAAGTTTGCCTTCGTTCGCGGCAGGTTCGGCCTGTCGGAGAGCAACCACCACGTGGTGGCGGAAGTTGTCACGCCGACCGGTCCCGTGGGCGTTGAGGCGTTGTGCCAAATCTTCACCGCCGCTTACGACTTCAACATCAAGCTCATGCTGGCGACGCCCCTCGAGGTGCTGCAAAAAGCGTTGTTGGTGGCCAAGCTGAACAGGCGCGACGCCGACTTCAGGATCGGCTACAATAACATCACGGCGGGCTTCCTCGGCACTTGGCACTATCATAACATCACCGATTTCGATTACACCTACATAGTGCTCACGCCTCTCGAGGACTTTGAAGAGTGCAGCGTGATCACAAAATTGATCGTAACGCGTACACAGGCCGAGAATATGTTGAACGTAGATACAGAGTTCTCGGTGAGATTGGCGGACACCAAGTTTGGTATCAAGGCTAAAGGTGGACCGAAACCACCGCCCGTTAAAATTCCGTCAAAACCGGGGATTACGAGTTCGGCGAGTGATTCTGAATTGTCAGAAGAGGTGGAAGAGGAGGAAGAGGAAGAAGATAACGAGGGTCTTTATTGGCGAGGGGAATTACAGGTAATTGTAATTCAAATAATTAAACTATAATTCGAACATGAAAACTTAATTATAAAAATCTTATTTCAAGAACTTAAAATTTAAATCACATACTTATATATAACGCACACACTGCACAAGTACTATTAATTAAAAATTTAGATATTAATTTGTACTCTATTATAGTTATGAAAGAAAATTAACATGAATTAATTAAAAATTATAAAATATATATTTATTCTCTCAATAGAAGTATAATTATTAAATGTGATTGCTAATAAATATACGGAAATGTATACGTTTGTTTGCAGATATGGCTTGCAATAATCCCAAACATATTGACAGAGCTGGATATCGATACTGATGGCGATACTTATAAGATATTAGGCATAATACAATTGCCACCCAATAAAATTGTTATAGACGACAGCTTTACCATGGAAGATGTTTTTCATATAAAAAATGATCTACATATTGATGTAACGTTCAGCAATATTAGAGAGATAACATCTTCATACGCGTTTGTCATCGATATGGAGACTCAAAACTACCTTATGAGTATGGATTTAAACGTCAGAAAAAATACTACGTGGTTCGAGGTAATATTTTTAAATCATTTTTATTTGGCGTATTATTTTATATTCTCTTAATCAACGGAACAAACTGATGGAATATAATAGAAGGTCTAAGCACGTAAAATTTTACGCAGACTGGATTTTATGGCAATTATACGTATCAAGGCAATAAAAATAGTAATCGAAAGGCTCATTTTGTGAAATTCGACATAAAGACACCTTTAGAACTTCTCAAAGCCTTCCGTACTAACGTGATCTTAGAGGTCGAGGGCAGTCTATATAGAGGCACACTCATGATTCATGGAGACCAATTGATCTTGAATATACTCGGAAACATAAGGGTGAGCATAATTTTCAAAATTTACGAAAATACACATTTGCAAACATCAAATAAAAAAAAAATTGTATCTCTCTCTTGTGCAGTTGGAGCAGGCTTTGCTGGATATGATGGTTTCGGGTGCGATCGATTCACCCGTTATGAAAATCCCGAAAACCACGGTCGCCGCGACAAAGAATTTCACCGGAGAAATAAAGCAAGTTAAGTTCAACGCAAGAATAGAAGAGCCTATATCCAAAAACGTAAAGTATCAATATTTATTTGTAATTTAATTAAAATACAATAATGATCATCTTTATTAATTTTGTAGTTAATTTGATATTTATATATAGAGATAGAATTATTATTAATTAAATAAAATTGAATTAAAATCTGAATCGCGCTATTTTTCTAGATATCCTTTGAATCCGACTGGCAAGTAGACAAGCATCTCGTGAAAGCTTCCGCGAAGTTGAAAAGCTGGATAAGGGCTCTTGAATCATTGGAGACCGATATCCTCTACGACAACGCGATTCGCGTAAATAATACCGCCAAACTGAATGTTAATGTAACGCATCTCGGCGATCGAGAGTATCGGCTGATCGGAAATTTAAACAACGGCAAGATCAGCGCCGATCTACACACGCCACTGTCGGAGAGACCTCATTTCCAGTTTCACGGTGACTTGAGACAGATCAACGAATCGTTGTACGATGTCAGGGGTGAGCTGAAGGACGATCTGCAGGCGAAATCTTACGACGTCAGCTCCGTCATCTTCGTGGAGAACGACGCTGTCACTTCGGTGGACGTGCAGGCCAAGCCGAAGAGCGCAAACACCGATCGACTCATTTTGAGACTGAAGAGGAAGAAATACGGCCTCCTGCTGGACGTGGACGGCGGATCGTTCAACGGTACCCTCGACGCGAACGTGGTCAACAATCTGAATTGGGACGTGAGAGCCCGCACGGATATCCAGAGGGCTGGCGCGATGGACACCTATCAGCTGAGCACCTTCATGAACGTGCAAGTGAACGGCAATACGACTCTGTACATTCACGCCGAGACACCCTGGAACGACAGCAGGATCCTGACGGTGAAGGGCAACATGATGCTGACCAACACGAGCGGCGATGTCCGGCTGGATCATCGACTGAACAACGATCGGTGCCACGCGACCGCGAGATGGAAGCTGGTCTACATGGAGGACATGCTCGTGAAACTGATCACGGGATACGACATGACACACCTGGGCAAGAAGGAACTGTCGACACACGTGTTCTACAGGAACCCCGGCCGGCTGTACAGGAACGTCGACGTGGGCTTCGATCTGGACATCGATCGAAAGGCGTGGGAGTTCGAGACGAACGCGACCATCGGTTTTCGCAATCAGCAGAACATCGACGCGGTGTTCGTCATAAAGTTGCCACCCCCGAACAATGACGATCATCGATTCCTGGTCAGCTATCACACCAACAAGCAGATGCAAGATATCTCTTATGTGGTGGGCTACAATACCGTTCGGACGAAGAGTAATTACGCCTCGGACGGATCGGTTTGTATATCTCTTTAATATTAATATAAGTAATAAAATTAAACTGCTCAATACAAACTCGTATAAATTGAATGCAAACTTTTAGATTCGAATGGCCACGCGCGACATTAACGGGCACTTCCGGCTGACTTGGGGATTGCTGGCCATGCAATCCGTCAACAATCTCTTCAACATCACGTTCGACAACAAGGAAATCGAGCTCAAATATTCACTGTACACGCCTCTGTTCCCGCAGGAGGAAACGGTCGTGCTCCTCTTCAATTACGATGCCAATTCCGACGAGCAAAACTTGATCAACGCTGATCTTTTTTACCCTTCAGGACGGCAGATTGGAACTGCAAAGATATCTTACGAAAGTTTGATTAACGTTAACGGAACCGTTAACGCTACGATATCTCTGCAACAATTGTCATACGTTGGCTGTAATTTTGTTATACTTACTACTTTGTAAGTAAACTTACCATATAATAGAAAAAATTGTAGAGAAAAGAATTAATTTTATCGCATAATGTTTTAGAAATCAAAACTTGTTTATTAATATTAATTATATGTTTTTAAGAATTTTATTTGCCGTGCAAAAGTGATGTTTTAACTTTATTACTATTTAACATTATTATAATTTTTTTTAAAAAGAGAAAGAGAGTATATTTCTTTTATTTTCTTCATTTCTTAATTTTTTTTACACAGGAAACAGAATAAAAGATTCGCCGAGTTCTTTTGGCCTAATAATAATACGGCTTTATTGAACTCCGATTACAATTACTACAGCGAGCGATTGAATTCGGATCTGGAGGGCATTTTGCACGTAGAAGTTCCTCTGAACGCTCGTCACGTCGGTATTCTGAATTACGGTTACAAAAAACGTCACATCGAGCAAGACACAAAGTCGGGTAAGTTAATATTTTTTTAAAACTAAATTAAGTTAAAGTTAATGACTTACAAAATTAATTTAGTTAAGTTAAAAGTTGCATGAGAAAAAACCTATCTCATTGTCAGTTAAAAAACTTGCGTTAAGATTAAATTAACTAAAGTCAAATTAAAAGTTATAATTTTGAAAGACTTTATTTATATTAAATTAAAATGTCGTTATTTTAAAAAATAAAATTTCTCTAAATTTAAAAAATTACAATATAAATCAAATCAATTTAATATTTTATTTGTAAATTAAGTTTCTAACAACGAAATACCTCTATTTTCTTTATATGAAAATGTTTTTTTCTCTTAAATAGATAAATTTTTAACTTAGAAGAAAGTTAAAAAGTTAAAGTTTATATATAATTAAAAATAACTAGTTGAAGTTAATAGTTAACTTGTTTAAAATTAATTAAGTTAAGATAAAAGTTATTTAACTATTTAACTTTATTATCTAACTTCTTAACTAGGTACTAAAAAACCTAGGCAAGAGACCACTGGCCACGGGACCTTGATGTACAACAATCAGAAGGTGTTGGACACGCAGTACAACGCAAAGAGCGAGGCCAGCAGCGGTATCGATAAGGATCGCATCGAGATTACGGTGGAGAACATTTTCAAGCCCATAGGCATCGTCTACGTGAACCAGTACGAGTACAGTGGTGGTAACGGGGGCACCAACTATCCCAATGTCGAGTTCAAGCAGGTGAACGTCTACCGGCTGGACAACAGCTCGGCGTTCAACATCTCCGGCGAGTCGAGAATCCGAACTACCCATACCGGCCAGAAAATTCACCTGAAGGCGATGCACTCGAACAAGACGATCGCGCTGAAGACGGACTACGAGATTCTGCCGGGGGAGTTTGACCACAACACCTGCTTGAGCCTGGCCGAGGACGCCTGGGTGTCCTATCGCGTGAATATCCTCAACATGACCACCGAGGACATGGAGAATCAGTTCCTTACCCTCAGTCTCTCCTACCCGCGACGTAACTTCACTCTGGGCGGCTCCTACAGAATCACCAGCGACGAGGTGAACTCCGCGGCGAATTTACGATGGGAACGCGACGACGAGAAGACGAGGAGCGTCGGCGCGAATTTCGACTGGGCGAACGTCACCGCGGGCACGTCGACGGAGAGTCAGCAGCAGGCCGTGCTGAGTTTCTATCATCCAACCTTCGAGAAGAACGTCACGTTAAAGGGTGTACTAATGAGGGAGGACCGCAGGGATCTGCTGAATGTCGCTTTCACCGCGGATTATTCCAACGACGAGAACAAGCTGCTGACGTTGTCCGCATTGCTGAGGGACGAGAGCGACGAGTTGAACAGAAAGTATATCTACAAGATAGCCGGCAAGCACGTCAATAGCAATTTGGATCTCGACATCGAGGGATTCGTTCACAGACGAGAATTCGTTCTGCTCGAAACGGTGAACCACGCTCGATACGCGCGCAGTTACATGCCGAGTGAAATCGGAGAACTGATCGGTCGGATCGATCGGAGATCGAGGGAAATAGTCTATCGGCGGGTGAACAACGACGCGGTCAAATATTTCGCGATCGGTTATTATCCTACGCCTTCTCAATACGTCGTAAATGGTAGCGTTATCAATACACCGGAACTTAACGCCACCGGAGTTTTCTTCTTGGACCCGCGTGAGAAACTCACTTGGATGATGGTGAATTACACGCCCGGTAAATATTACAGAAACTTTTAAAGAAATTGATAATATATCGAAGATATTAAATAAGAGTAAGAGATATTAAAAATCGATGGGATGATTGATGAAATAAATATTAAACATATTTAACAAATTTCAAAATATGTGTAGTGCCCTTTGTTTCATTCTATTTTATGAAGAGCTTACAGTATCTAAACTATATCTAAAAAAAGTATTTTTTATTGCTTCTGTTTTGAACAAGAATTTTTTTTATCTTCGACTTTTCTTTAGCTTCTTCATTCGAATATTTTTTTATTTTCAATATTTTTTGATTTGCAGACGCGACAGTGAGCTTAAGAATGCACGGCAATATTCCGGACGCACGGAACGCCATATTCAATATTTGGAGAACCTACGAGGACGACTTAAAAATTTCGGACGTTTCCTTCTACCTGAAGCTAAACCACTCGAGGCTCGTTACTTCAACTCTACGATGGCGGCCGGAACTTAAGAGCGATATTATTGTAAGCTAAATTTATTAAAGATATTATTGTGTTTTTCAATGTAATTTTGTAATTTTCTTATTGTAATTTATCCACTTATTGTAATTTTCAATGTAATTAATGTAATTCTTTCACGACTGTTGATAGACTACTGTAAAAACGACGTACGATGACATGTGCAAAAGCATGCACGACGACGTTGAGTATTGGAAGCACTATATAAAGAACGAAGCAAAAAGTGTCATTATGGATGTGTGGGAGGATGCTCAGGAGGATATCTCGGGATTCCTTGACGATTGGAAGTAAGTAGCGAAATATGAAAATTTAATATCTATAATATTAAATTAGACAAGTTACAAAAGATATTAACAAGAAATAATTCAGTAAACGAGAATGGATTGAAATAGATTGAAAAAATTCATTTCAACGTTCGCAAATGCGTATTTCTGGAAATCTGAATTCATTTCAGTGTCCAATGCCTTTGTATTCATTTATAGGAATTGCATGAATCACATTTTCTATGCCATTCAATATAAAAAAAAAAAAAATACAGCTTTAAAAAGTAAATCGTGAATACTGATTAATTTAAAATTCTAGATAGGAAATGTTGTTTTTTTAATTTGATTAAATTCAACAAAAGTTCTTCGTAAAAATGGACCATGAATGTTATTCATCTAAATCTAAAAAAAATATTTTTTTGGATTTAAATGGATTGAAATAATGCATTTCCTAGTCACAATTAATATAATATCATAGTAATATTATATTAAAAATATTATATTACATTCGTATTATGAAATTGAAATGTATCTATTTCCACGGAGGCCAATCCATTTCAATCCGCAAATTAAAAAAATTTAATTCATTTTAATCCATTTCCGTTTATTGAATGAGTTAATATAAAGTATTATATGTATATATACAATAGAAAAAATATTAAAATATAGAATAATTATCTATGTGTGAATTTTTATATTTATTTATACAATTTTCTTTTTCTCTATTCTTTTCAGCGATTTGAAAATTCTCGAGCATGACTTTGAAAATCTCAAGCGGTATCTGAACGATTCCTATAACGCGAATGACTTTTACATCAAGGATATCATCGGTTTCGGTATATACGTTATCGACGAACTGTCTCTGCGAAGTCACATTGAGTCCCTTCCTAACATCCTGAATGAAATCTGGGAGAAAATGGGCGAATCCGGCGAAGCCTTGCGAAATTCGTTGCTCTGGTTGATCGAGACCATGAAGAACGCCTACAACAAGGTGTCCGAGATCACGGCCGCCGTGCTGAAGGGCGATTCACTGTCGCAGGTGGCGAGTATAATCGAGAAGCTGATCGAGAAATACGACATATTTATCAAGGACCTGCACGTGTCCTTCATCAAGTACATCGAAAATCTGTGGAGCACGATTTTCTCGTCCATCTCGGAGCAATGGTACCGCTTCTTGCAACTCATGGAACCCCTGTTCATTCGCTTCATCCATTATCTCGAGACGCTCGCCTGGAGGGCGAGCAAGGAGATGCTGGACTTCTTCTACGACCGTAAGAAAGAGCTCATCACGTCGCCGTACTTCGACCGCTTCACCAATTTCACCCACGACGTCGACAAGATCTACCGCGACATCAAGGCGAACGACATAGTGACCAACGTGCACAAGTACTCGGGTCTGATGATACAGTTCGTGAAGGAGCGCTACTTCGCCTTCGTGCCGTTCGGCAAGGAGCTCAAGGACGTCGTGGACGAGATCGTGACGGAGCTGAAGGAGCTCCGGAAGCTGCCGTCGGTCAACTACGCCGTCGAGAAGCTCGAGCAGCTTTATGACAGGATCGGCTACTTCTGCGAGTACTTCGAGGTCAAGCTCAAGATAGAGAGCTTCATTCGGCTGGTGCACGCCAAGATGATGGACATCAGTCAGACGGCGCTGCAGGCCGAGAGCCGCTACAGGGAGGCCAAGACCATGTTCATCTTCGATCCCAATGAGGGCCTGATGTGCCTGGAGCAGAAGCTACCCATGTCCTGGCACGCCTTCAATCAGACGCCCGAGTTCCACGAGATACCGGAGATCAGGGCGATCGCGGACGTCAAGACGTACTTCGTCACCTCGAACACTACCTTCTGGAGCCTTTACTATCAGTACAAGCCGTACTCGGAACTGTCGAACTGGTTACCGCCGTTCAAAGGTTTGTCTCGTAGCCACGAAAATTTAACAATATTTGGAGTTTAGTCCAATATCGAACATTAATCGAATTTTAATCAAATTGAAAATAGTACTATTTTTAATAGTACTACTTTAAATTAACAATTTATCGTTATTTTACCGTTTCAGCGCAAGCCATGATTATCGGCTCCCAGCATTATATTACTTTCGATGGCCGTTACTTTGAGTTCGCGGGAAATTGTACCTATTTGTTAGCGAAGGATTTCGTGCGCGACACTTTCGCAGTTCTAGTGAAATATGATCAACAAGAAGAGGAAATTACTCACAAGATCATAGTGCTAATTGGAAGCAACGCTATCGAGTTGGACCTCTTCAATGATGTCAGTATAGAATTTATTATTGCATGATAAAAATTAAATTCAAATTTCGATTACGTTTAACAAGTAAAAAGTTATGCTTGTGATTATGTTACTTAAAAAAAAACAAATCTGTTTCGAACACTAGATTTTTAGGAAATTTATGACGGTAAAAATGAAATAATGAAATTTAAAAAAGAAATCTTTCAATCCTTTTTTTAAATAGTTTGCCATAATACATAAAATATGAACGATAAAAAAAATCCGTGAAGTCTATCATTGCAGTTTAATAGCAAAATTAATTATTATAATAATTTTAATAATAATATACGGAATAATTAACGTGAATTAATATATGTGTTATCCAGACGATGAAGCTGCTCTCCCAGAAATCAGCGAATGTCACGAGCAACCTGCGGCTGCCGATTGAATTGGACGACGCCACGTATGTTTATCAAGTGGAGAACGTGGTGATGGTGGAGCGCAAGCACAACCAATTCCGACTGGAGTGCAATTTCAAGTTCAACCTGTGCACCCTGGAATTATCAGGCTGGTACTACGGGAAGACGGCCGGTCTCCTCGGCACGATGAGCAACGAGCAGCTGGACGACACCCTGGGGTCGAACAAGCTGTTCCTGAGGGACACCGGCAGCCTCGCTCACAGCTGGTCCATCGACGAGAGCTGCGCCGACACGGCGAACCACGCCAGCAAGGTTCAACAGCAGGATGACACGGTATCCACGTTCTGCTACGAGCTATTCCAGAACAAGAGCTCGGAATTCGGCGTCTGCTTCGGCGTGATCGACCCGACCGAGTACTTCGGCATGTGCCTGAGCAGCCCCGCCGAGACCGAGGTGTGCACGGTGGCGATGTCGTACATGCAGATGTGCCTGTTCCGCGACACTTACCTGCGGATACCCGACCGGTGCACCACGTGCACCATGATGGACGGCAGCCAGGTGGCGGAGGGCCGTTTCAAGAAGCTGGAGGGCGACAAGGTGCCGCGATCGGCCGACGTGGTGTTCATCGTCGAGGCGAAGAGCTGCAATCGCGACATAAAGATGAACAGCAGCATGGAACAGCTGATCACGCAGCTCGATAAGGAGCTGGACGAGCAAGGGCTCACGGGCAACCGTTGGTCCTTGGTGGTATTCGGCGGCGATGGAGTGTACGACAGGCCTAGGAGCATCATCCTCGACGGGCAGATCTTCACGAAGAACGTGCCGCGCTTCGTCAACTACTTCGACCACGTGCCGGTCGGCGACGGCAGTGAAGACATCTTCGCCGCGATCGGCTTCGCCTCGCGGCTCGTCTTCCGGGCCGGTGTGTCGAAGACCTTCATACTGATACCGTGCTCGCATTGCGAACCGGAGAACCAAACGGTAATCCTAACTCTTTAAGTTTTAGGAAATTTAAATAATTCTCTTGTCTAATTAAGGTAACTGTCCCTATTAGTGTCCCTTTTATATTTAAATAAGTCATAAAAATAAACTAGTACAAATAAATAGACAGTGTTTTTTTTATATTAAGTTAAAGTATTAACTTAATAAAAAAAACACTTAGTCTATTTATTTGTATCAGTTTATTTTTATGATTTATTTAATACTTATTAAATAAATAGAAGTGTTTTTTTTATTAAGTTAAAGTTTAACTTAATAAAAAAAAACACTTTGTCTATTTATTTGTACCAGTTTATTTTTATGACTTATTGAAATATAAAAGCACACTAATAGGAACAGTTACCCTAATCTTTCTCCTCTTGTCAGCTGGAGTATTCCGTGCTACATCAAGTACTGCTGGAGCGCGACATCACTCTGCACATAGTGATGGACGGCGACTTCCAGTTCGAGAAGGAGAAGATCGGCAAGATTTTCTACGGCTTAGACGCGGCCAAGTCGTACACGAAGAAGGATTCCCGTGTCCTGACCGGCGACATGGATCTGAGGAGGCAGGTCAAGCTCTCCAAGACCGTGCTGGGCTACTGCACGCCGCTGTCCCTGGAGACGAACGGCACGATATTCAGCGGGGACAAGCTGCGCCTCGAGAATTCGTCGAATGCGGTGAAGAAGTTCGCGAGTGTCTTCTCGAAGAGGATCGCCCTCACGGCCGAGCCGAATAAATGCCAGCTCTGCGAGTGCACCGCCGACAATAACGGCGTCACGCAGATGGAATGCATGCCGTGTATATATCCGACGCCCGTGTACGTGGATTACGTGAGTGTACGTATCGCCTTGTCCGTATCGGAACGGCGCGTTCAAACAAACAAAAAAAAGTATTTGAAGAAATCTAAGATATTTCTGTGATATCGCGCGGGCATTTATCGTCTAGCGTACGTCTAACTGAGCGATCTCTCTTTTAATTGTACCGCAGGAGACCTTCAATCTCAACGAGTCATTCTCGATGATGCCGCCGTTGGACGATGGAGATTACGGCCAAATCGATATGGAGAACGACTGAAGTGTAATTAAGGAAACACCGCAGCTAGATAATACTAGATGCTAAGATAACTCGCTGGTATTAGCCGTATTTATTTATAACATACTTTATAATATAGATAATATACCTACCTCCCTTTCCATTACAAAATTTGTTCTTGTCAATAAATTGAGGCATTGAACCAGCTTCTCATTAAGAATATCTATTGAAAATATATGAGTTGGCACAGATACGTGCATTATTTTTAAATGACAATTGGAGGTCTGATGCCAAATAGATTTTATAATTCAACATTCTGTCACCGCAATTCTTTTACACATCACACTTATGATATATCCGTGGCATATGGCAAATTCATATATTTTAATATATAAAATATATCAAAATAAAGCACATGCTATAAAATATTATGCTATAAAATGAAATATCGTGTCTCTTGAATATTAGACATTAAGGCGTAAACGTTAGATCTAAAATCAAATTCATGACAATTGCTGGGACATGAACGGGGATTAATGTAAGGCTGGTGGAAATGGCACAATCACCGTATAAAAGCACAACACAGGATCGATATATAAAACTTTCCTGTCTATATATATTATCTGTATATAATGTCTGTGAGACTTATATATATAAAAATTTAATGCAAACCGGGGAAATGGCAATTGATTCCGCGTTACATTTACCGCGCCTTGAAAACGCACTTAAACAATTTTATTCCAGAGCGGAACATGGCGAGTATATCTAAACGTCCTCTTGGTGAAATATCCTTCAATGTAACAAAGGAATAAACTATAAACGCATAAAGTAAATCGCGAAAACTTAATAGTCGCGACGCGGGAACGGAAACGTAGGAGACCGCGTGGTTTTCTTCTTTTTTTTTTCCCGGAAACTTTCGATATGGCCGTGATAGACTGTACGTCACAGTGTACATAAGTGACGGCGAGACGGAAGAGGATAAACCGGCGATAACACGGGACAGCGCCCGGCCCTCGCGCGGCTTGGCCGCTATTCGTAATAACGTCAACCCAATCCGTCGGAAAGTGGTCACCTGGTCGTCGTGTCGTGGGCCTGCAGGTGATTCGGCGCGTCGGCGAACGTGAACTTCAATTTGTACGCCTCGGCCACCAGCACGCCTATCTCCGAGTCCGTCCAGTTTTGCGTGGGCAGGTTTTGTAGCATTAACATCAGCCCCTGCATTTAGAAAAGTGTCAATGATCGGATCGATCTTCATTATCTTTACGAGGCTGGCTCGAGCTGTATAGGGGCTATAGTGCGGATGGATTACTTGAAAATCAGGTTGCAAGAGCAAGTGTCGCCTCCAACGGAGAAGAAAGGCCGCGCATACGTAGAGCTGAAACGAGGCGAATCTGTCGGACTCCGCCAGATACGTGTCCCACAGTCGGATGGTGCAGTGAAGCGGGATTTCCCTGGTTAGCAGATTGTTCATCCACCGGAAGGAGAATTGTAGGTAATCCACTCCATGCTGATGCAAATGTTGATGCAACGGCGCTGGAAAGTGTTATTATTAAGGGGTTAGTATACCCTGACGAGATAAAAAACAAGCTAATTTTTAGGAATTTTTTTCTGGCAAAATATAAATAATACATGAAATCCGTTTAAACCATTATCTTTATTATAAATTCAAGTGTCCAAATAAATTTTTTGGTAAAAAAAAAATTAAAATTCCCACTGTAGGGCTCCATGTAGCGCAAGACCGTTTTTTTACGGTGTACTTGAAATCTCCCGTCAGTGTAATCTCAGACAAAAAAAAATACGGTCATAATCTACATTCTACAATGTATTGTCTCTCGTCTGACGGAGAATTTTGTCGTTTCACCTTTTTGGCGTTGAAAAAAAAATTCTTGAATCTCCCCCCGCATTGCGGCTTTACCTCCCTCGCCTAAGTTATGACTTTGTTCTCTGTCCCCTTATATTCCTACGTCCATGGTAGTAAATCGTAAGCCGTAAGAAATTGACCAATCACAGTCGATTATTCTTCTTATATTTTTGACTGTGATTGGTCAATTTCTTACGACTTAGGGCAAATTAACATCTTGACAGAAAAGCAAAAAACAGAAAAGCAGAAGCCAATCAGAACTCGCGTTGGTAGTCAATAGTTTTTGCTTTCTGCTTTTCTTGTTACCAGTGCGAGTTCTGATTGGCTTCTGCTTTTCTGTTTTCCGCTTTTCTGTCAAGGTGTGAATTCGCCCTAAAGATAAAATAATCTTTTTTTGTATAAAATCCAGGATCACGCGGCAAATTACGCAATAAAATGGGATGTTTTGATTGGTCAATTCGAATAACGCGACGCGTGACGCGCTCAGTGGAAACGCACCCTAAGTATCTCGTCGATCGATCGATGGTTGACTTTTCTGCAGACTAGAAGTCCCTAGCTCTTCAAGCCTTAACATCCCTAGCGTCTAGCCAGTTAAACCAATAGCTTTTCGTTAAAGATCCACTGCCGTTCGGTAGCATTTCCATTTCCAACCTCACAATTAGGGTGATCTAGAGTCCTAGATTATCAGAGAAGCGCGACCGGCTTATGGCAGTATCGCAAAAGTACTAGAAAATATTAAAAATGGCGTCGAATGGCCAATCATAAGTTTGATTTATTCGGCAGCCATTTATAATAGCGATAAATCA